CTGTTCATTCTCCATACCTCTTTTAATGTTCTTCTGCCAAGGTGCATTTTGATGCAGACAAATGCAGTCTCATGATCTCATGTGTTCATCTAACCCCATATTTCACTCATCTTCCATCCTGGGTCCTGAAGTTCAAACATCTTTGAAATCTGAAGTGACATTTGCAGCAGTACACATGATCCAGTCTTTGTTCATAAATCTGGCCACCTTCTTGACTTTACTACTCTTCCTCCTGGGGAAATACACGGCTAGAAATAGCCCAGTCAAATCCAATAGGGAAAGTTAATTAGAAAAGCCTATGTGTGGGGCGACTGACAGAGAGGTCGGGAGACTTTAGCCTTAGTGATACTGAGAGGCCAAGTCTGCTCCCACATATCATTCTTAGTAAGAAAAATACATTCTCAGACTATTTAGGTCATCGTGCTTTAAGCTGAAATACCAAAGACTTCAGCGATCTGGAAGTGAAACAATGCACAGAAGCATGCTGAGTAGAGCCATGCTTTCCTCCCTCCTGCTGCAAATAGCTATAATTTATTAAAAGTGAAGCATCCTTTGAAACTTCCTAATGAACACACACACAGACAAACCAAGCTAATGCCCATTAAGTCATTTAATCTAAACTTTTTGAAAGACAAGCCCTCAGAACCATTCTGTATATGGAGCTGAGGCTTGGATATCTAACCTACAGCATTTTGTGTGATTCTTTTGCACAGGACATATTAGACAACAGAAAAAAAAATGTAGAGCATTAGAAAGATTTTACCATGCAGAGTTGGAAAGAAAACAACTGACTAAATGGCAATGCTGGAACTTTAATTGTTTTCATAAGTACTTGACACATACAGCTGGAACATCACGGTTGTTTGTTTTCCTGCTGTTGCAGGCACCCACATCATATAATTCTCTTGGCTGTATTTAACAACTCAGTCTTTCACTATATCAGCATCACAGCCAATACCCTGTGTTATGTGAAAGGCTCATATTCTCTCTAACTTGCTCCAGCTATGGTATATAGCAGTGGCTTATATAGTAGTAATTATAGATTTATGGATCGTCGCTCCTCCCTATATGAAGCTAAAAAAATAAACATGATCACAAAGCCGAAGATCCTCCACATGGTTCTCATTTGGCCTTTGAAACATAGACACCCGCCTAGCAGGGATTTTATATAAGTTTCAGGTGGTGAGAGAATTTGGTTAATAGGAAGCGTGATAGTCAGTGCTTTCAACTTTTTCTATTTCCATGACATTGATCTGGCCCAAAGCTGAGAGGTCACTAGTTCCTGCCCCTGCAGATGTGGATCCTCTAACGTGGCCTTTGGTCACGATGATGTGAGTTCCCTCTCCCAACTTTCCAGCTGCCCAAGAAAGACCCTTTGATTCCAGCAGTGACTAAAACTCAGCGAACTTCAGCTGAGAGCTGATGTGCTGTCAAGGAGAATTAAGACAGTTTTGCATCAGTATTCCTGCCAAATTTACTCATTCTTTCAGAGGCTGGCTGTATGACTGGGTGTGGAACATGCCACATTTCACAGCACAGATTTTGAGTCATTACAAAAGCTGTTACGTTGTTATAAGGAGACCTCTTTTTCCTTACTGATGTTATTCCTCAAGTATTCTGGTATCATGGTACGAGAGGCAAGGTCTCAGTAGTTTATCTTGGCTGCTTCCTATGCAGTCTCTCTATAGAAAGGCTAGTGAGCAAAAATGAGCAAAGCTGATAGTATCTTGTAGGCCACTGCATCAAAGTCAGACAGGACTGGATATTTTTAAATATTACAGCTGGTTCTCAAAGCTGACTAAGGAATTCTCTAAGTAAGATTCCACTAACCTGTAGGGAATTTGGATGCTCTGTTCCCATTATGGCTTTGGAAGTCCCACCCAACATCTGTGTAATGGTCAGTGCTCATTTAGGAGTCTTGGCCCTTTCATAATGAGCGGATGTCCACGTTGAAA